TTATGGTAAAAATAATTTATAAGTAAATTTTAATATAGATTAAAACAATAATAATTAAGATTTTTTTTAGATTGTATTAGAAAAATATATTCCATAGTTGTATTTTTAGGACGATTTTTATCAATTTTGGCTATATGAAACAAAGTTCTTGCAATTCCTATAAGAAAATAGACAAATCTTATAGGAAAATAAATGTATTTTTGAATTAATTGTATTAAAAAAAAATATAAATATAATCAATAATTAAATCACAATATACATATTTATGAGATTATATAAAATGTTTATGATTTTCAAAGAAATTTTATCTTTAATGCATGCATTTGTAATTTGTATGGTAAGCTTGAGAGATTCGTTGAAGTCAAAGCCTTTTGATGTCAGTGGAACGTAATGGAATTGGGAATGGAATAATATTTCAACAATCAATACGAGAGAGAATCGCACCTGCCCTTTAGACATGTTTTCTCTGGCCACAATTTATTATACCTGAGAATGGAATTACTCTTCCCTGTCTAGTGGGAATCCCCTTAGTTATTGTCCACGAAAATGTCATCCATTCTTGAAAATCCCACTTGGAAAGGCATCTCGAAAATTGTATTATGTATTTCCAAACTTTTAAAATTTAATAAGTTAAATTGTGTCTTCTAGATTTCTTGTGTATTCTTTGAATTAATGAAATTCTTTTCAAAAATTTACAATTCAAAAAGTTTGAAACTTGTAACAAGAAATAATTAAATTTATTTAAGAAAAAGTCTTCTATTTAATTCAATTAATTAATTAAATTAAAATACTTACAAAATGTTATAATTAACTCCGATTTTTATACTTATTATGTTGAAATGTTTCTAAATATTTTATTCTATGCATTTCTTTAAAAAAAAAATATTGGTATTTTTTAACCTGACATTCTTAATGAGTCACAAAATGACAGCTGTCACTATGTATCAAAATGAGCAACTGACAGCTGTCACCTAATGTCAAAATGAAGAATCGGCTAAATATATTTGTTATTTTCTTTTCTGTTTAACAATTTTATCAAACAAAACTAAATTTTGCATTTATTAATTAGAAACAAAATTAATGATGATTGTTAATGAATATGTCATTACTGTTTGGGAAATTAAGTAATTAACAGCTCGTGATTGATTAAAGTCGATTTTACCGTTGCAATTGAAAATCGCATTAATTCGCTGCAACAGTTTTGTCGTAATCGAGTGATTCGCAGTTGTGCGTATTACAAATCTATTGATTTACATGCAGGTCCAAGTTAATAATGCATATATTCTAAATCGTTACTCCGATGAACAGAAAGGGCTTTATTGGTGACGCAACATAAATTCAAATTACCATACATGAATTAATTATAAAATTAATAATGGTAATTAAATTGATTTACAGTGAACTGGAGGTTAATATTTCAATGAAATTATTTTATTATACAAATATTATTATACATATTTTTTTTTGAAAAATACTCTAAATCAGTGTTTTTCAACCTATGATGGGTTGAATTTTTTAATAAGTCGCAAAATGACAGCTGTCAATCTGTACCAAAGTCAGAAACTGACAGCTGTCATCACGTGTCAAAATCAGAAACTGATGAAATACTCTTGGCAATTGGGGTCTCATGTTGGGTTGTGAGGCAAAAAAGTTCAGAAACGCTGCTTTAAATACATGTGAAAACTCAATTACAACAATTAATTAACTAATATGTATTCAAATTTGTTAAAAACTATTTAGACATACATTGATACAAGTTGTCAACAGATGGCGTAGTTTGATTACTTCATATTTGACAGCTTTGAAAGTTAAGCAACAACCATTTCTAACAGTAATTGAATAAGTCATCATTGATACTTAAATAAAACAAGAACTAAAGTATTATAGCAGTGATTGTTGGATACTACACATAATAATGGTAGAAATTCGTGCTTCTCAAACTATGATGATTTGATTTTTTAATCAGTCGCAAAATGACAGCTGTCAATCTGTATCAAAGCGAGGAACTGACAGCTGTCACCATGTATCAAAACCAGAAACTGTTGAAATTGGGCTAGCAATACAATTACCAATAATTATGTTGTGAGGCAAAAAAGTTCAGAAACGGTGCTCTAAATACATGTGAAAACTCAATTACAACAATTAATTAACTAATATATATTCAAATTTGTTAAAAACTATTGAGATAAACATTGATACAAGTTGTCAACAGATGGCGTAGTTGGATTACTTCATATTTGACAGCTTTGAAAGTTAAGCAACAACCATTTCTAATAGTAATTGAATAAGTCATCATTGATACTTAAATTAAACAGAAAGTAGAGTATTATAGTAGTGATTGTTGGAGACTCGACATAATAATGGTGGAAATCAGTGTTTCTCAAACTATGATGATTTGATTTTTTAATCAGTCGCAAAATGACAGTTGTCAATCTGTATCAAAGTGAGGAACTGACAGCTGTCACCATGTGTCAAAAACCAGAAACTGTTGAAATACTCTTTGCAATTGGGGTTGGAACACAATTACCAATTCAGAAACTCTGCGTTAAATACATGTGAAAACTTAATTACAACAATTAATTAACTAATATATATTCAAACTTGTTAACAACTTTTTAGATAAACATTGATAAAAGTTGACAACAGATGGCGTAGTTTGGTTACTTCACAGCTTTAAAAGTTAAACAACAACCATTTCTAATAGTAATTGAATAGGTGATCACTGATACATTAATATATACTATTGGTGGAAATCTCAAGATAATATCCTAATAAATTTATTTACTTTTACAGAATATATGAAAAATTATTAAAATTTCTATATTTTTTTAAAGAAATTTTAAGTTTTTTATACTGTTGAGTAAGTAATTTTTATGTGGATTTTTTATTGTTAAGATGTTTGGTAAATACGTTAAATTGATAATATGTTCTAGTTTTGTTTTGTTTGAAGTAGAATGGAAAATCCATATCCAACTAGATAAATGCGAGTAATGTAAAGTTCGCATTATTCACGTCTTCGTGCATGGAGAAAATCGAACAAACTGATGCAAAAGCGAGGAATTTCCGTCCAATATCCGAGCACACATGCATACATCTATCCATCTACACCGTATTGCCCTCTCCAACTCCGGAATCGTCAAATTGATTTCCTCGAGTATGGACAGAACCATGGTGCATTACTTCTGCAAATATACGAAACGTGCTAACAAACAATCGCATCTTCTATTCCCACAAATATATTGGAAGATATTCCTATAGTTTTCTGCATGAGTTTACTGTTAAATATTAGTTTGAAAATCCAATTCTATTAAAAACAAACATTTATATTAAAAATAAACGTTATTATTAGACGAAAAATAGATAAATATTATATAATTATTCCAATTGAAGGAATTTGATTAATATTACAAAAAATTTTAAACACATTTTTTTTTCAAACAATTAAAAAACATGTTTTAAATTTATATAATAGTTTCCAACTAATCACTCAATTTTGATAAGCTCTTAAAAATATACATTATTTTAAGTCAAAAGATAAATTTAGTTTTTAAATACATAAGTTCACGAAATAATTAAACATTCAACAAGATTTTCGCACATTATTTTGTTCAATTTGAAACAGTTCCAGTAATATTTGGCACCCATTTCACGTGTCTTTGTATTATTTCTGTGGAATTTAAACTAATGTTGAAATAATAACAAAAAGAATTACGTAGTTAAATAGTGAAAAAAATACAAAAATATTTTAGTCAAATGTAAATATATTTTGTTTTTACTAAAGAACCAATAAATTATGTAATGATTATATACGAATTATTACCTTCTTAATTTTCATTTCTAAATGATTTTACGATTCGTGGAAAGTAATCTTCATAAACATATAACTTTTAATATTATAGAACAAGAAATTCCATATATGTTTTTAAATATGTTCAAGAAAAGTTTGAGATTTCTTTATATCATCATAATTTCGTTGGAATAAACGAAAAACTTTTCACAATTCTGCAGAAACGCACAGAAACTTTTGATTAAATCAAAGTTATTTATTCATTTTCATAAATATTTATGAACATTTACGTATTAAGAATAAAATATAATTTTTATTTTTTAATCATTATTAAAACCAATTTTCAAACTAAACATCAAAAGAAAAAATGATTTAACTGTTTCTAAAAAGAAATTATAAACTAAAAAAAATCAAAGATTGATGAAAATAAAATTTATTTGATTGTTGCGTGTTTCGAGGTTCATTTTCAAGTATAAAAATACGATCAAAAGCTTTTGGCAGCAAAATCTAGTTTCAATACTGCAGTAAAATGGTTGAAAATAGAACGGATTATTGATTTTTCTTGTCGCCAAAGTTCTTACACAAAGTAAAATCTTCTTTAAAAAGTGTCTTTCAAAATGTATTTACTTATAAGTTTATAATATGAAGATACATATCTATTTAAAAATCTTCACTTTAACGTAATATTTAATTATAATAGTATTATTTCTCATAGAATTTCTATAGAAATTAATTTTATTAATTGATTTAGAAAAATTTGTAACAAATTAATTTAAATTTTTTTGTTAAATTTAAAATAATTTTATATAATAACTTTGCTATAACAATTTTACTGAATATTTATAAAAAAAAATAAACAATTTAAGTTTAAACTTTTTGCATGAGACAAGTAAATCAAGTTTGTAAATGTAATTTTTGTTTTTAACAAAAGATAATCAATACATAAAATGATTTTATATAAATGAAATTTGATATTTACTATATTATGTAGTATATTTTCAAAGTTTCAATTGTTAAAATTGTGAATGAATTTCATACAATGTTTACGAAGTATAAAAATAAAATCGTTGATATTTAAAAATAAATCAAGTTTGCATCTATCACTCTCGTGTTAACCAATATTGTTTTGTCAACAAACTTTCTCTGTCTCTCTGAAGTTCTCTTTAAATGCTGCTGTATCTAAATATAGTGAAGAATCATTGGAAGTACTCACCCTCATACTCGTCTTTGATTGATTTGGATTGATACTCCTGAAGAGCTGAGATCAAGAAGACCCTTTCCTCCGTGGTCAACCTGAGGACGAGCTCCTGGGCCTGCAGCTTCGAGAGTCCCTGCGTGGTGCTCGTGGTCTCTGCCCTTGCTGCAGCTCCCTCCAACCCAGTCCCAACTCCGAACTGTCTCTTCGACATGCAGTAGTTGTGCTTCAGTACAAGCAGCTGACTGGAAGAAGTGGTGGTCGTCTTCAGAAGGACGTGCTGATGCGCGCCAACTGTCCTCAAGAACTGCTTGGTTATGATCGCAGTTGCCATCTCTGCGTATCTATTTATCGTCTGTGATGTTATCGTTCGATGATGTCTTCGAGATCTTTCAGCATCTATTTACCACACGCGCCTCACGCACCGAGTGCACTCTTTCATCAGATCAGGGACCTCGAGTATAGCATGTTCCTCGACCACGGCTGACACTCGACTGGTGACTCACATTCCCCCCAAAAACACCGAGATATTCACTGTGTCATGTGTACGAAAATTGCGCAAACGCCCCCAATTGGATACACAGCATCGTCGGTTGCATAACGTCCAGACAGATTCCAGACATTCCGATACGTCTACAATTCAAATCCAGAGTTGGGACTAATTTCTATAATAGATTGAGCAAAGTTTTCAAGCTACATCCAAATGCCTAATTGTAACCTCTCTTTGCTTTAATAATAAACCTTATACTTATTTCATTCTAATGTATATAATATTGTATACATACATATTTTTTGAAGTAACTAATCCATCCTTATTACAAAATTTGTCCAATCAAACAGCTTATGTTTCCTTCTTCTATATCTACAATAAATTCACTTATTTACTTTTCTCTTACTTTCATACATATAAACATATATGAAATAAATAATTCAAATTTTTCTTTGAGGTTATCGAAAATAACTATTTGACAGTACAACTTTAATTATTTACAATTGACATGTTGCCAATCTTGTAAATCTATAAAACTAAAATTATGTTTAGTTTTTTTTCTTCTTCTATCAACTTGTATCTCCTCAAAATTAGCTGCATTTTCATCTAGTTTTCAATTTCAATCTTTATTAATTGATGATGAATGACTTTATTTCCAATGATAAATAAAACAATTGAAATTTTAAATTAAAGTATATACAACTTTGTACGCATTTACAATTAGAATAAGCAACTTCTTAAATGAATGCTAATTATTATCTGTTTAATCTTACTTGAAAATTCTATTGTATTAAGTATTTATTAAAAAAGTCATTATTATTAGTATTTTTTCTTAACATGATTTTTTGTAGAAATGTGACTAATTTTTCATGATTATCAATTTGAAAATCTAATGAATTTAGTACCAAATTTATCTATACTCTACACATTACAATAATTATTGTATCATTTCTTATGTCTTACCATTTTTCATTGAAAACATCATTTCTTAAAAATAATAATAATTGTTTGTGACATTATTAATTTTAAAAAAATAGTAATTGGAATAAGTGAAAATTGTATTGCCTATATTGAACATACATAAAAAAATTATTATATAATATTTTATTTAAAAACTCTTAAAAAACTCTTCATAATTTATTACTAATGTATATATTTTGAAATAAATAGTTTTGTTAGTTTAATTAAGTTTAAAAAGAAATAAATTTCTGTTAAATTTCTTGCACTTAATTGAAATAAATGATAATTATAAAATAAATTCAGATACTTTATATTATATAATAAAACAAGACATGAAATTAGTATTAGATTTATTTTATTTTTAATTTTCATTGCGATTCTCTTGAATTTTAGTAAAATGTAATGATAACTTTTTCAAATTTTTATTTTAATGAATATAGGAAACCAAACATACACCATTATTAGATACCGAAATACCAATCAAATTCCCGACTGTATCGAAATCCCGACAATCATAATCCCGACTATATTAAATTCCCGACAACCAAAATCCCGACTATATCGAAAATGTCTTGAATAAAATTTTTAAATTAATAATTAATAATAATTTATTGTTATTATTAATATAAGTGTAGCACAAGGTGACTACGCTCCGAAATAATTTAAAAATGTTATTGTAAAAATTTTCGTTTTAGTCAGGATCCTGATACAGTCGGGATTTTGATATAGTCGGGATTATGTTTGTCGGGATTATGGTTGTCGAGATTTTGATTTAGTCGGGATTTCGATATAGTCGGGATTTCTATAGACTGTCATTAGGTTGTCGGGTTTGCGATATAGACCCTCCTGGTTTCATGGTGATAATTTTCCAAGATTTTGACCGTGGTGATTCAACAACTTGTTAGTGATTTGCTAAAACTGCCAATTGATTAAACCTTAATAACTTTCTTAATATTTGATTAAATTAAAAATATTTGGTATCAAATGAAAGCTAAAATATATTTGTGTTAGAATAAACATTATATTTTCAAGTGAACTTTGAAATAAATGTAAAATTTACTTACCTTAATACATTATTAATTTAAAATATTTCATAGAAAATACTCGGTATTAATGGATGTTTTCTTTATTAACATTTCTCAAATAGAAAGATGAAACAAAAATATAATCCCGACTATATTAAAATCCCGACAACCATAATCCCAACTGTATCAATGTCCCGACTATATCGAAAATGTCTACAATAACATTTTTAAATTATTTCGGAACGACAAATAATAACAATTAATAATCTAATTGTATTTTAGATTATTTCATAATGTTAAGATTTATGAACAATTCAAGAAAATCAAATAAATTAATAATAATTTATAGTTATTAATAATAAAACTGTAGCACAAGTTGACTACGCTACGAAATAATTTAAAAATTTTATTGTAAAAATGTTAGTTATAGTCGGGATTTTGATATAGTTGGGATTATGTTTGTCGGGATTATAGTTGTCTAGATTCTGATACAGTCGGGATTATGGTTGTCGAGATTTTGATACAGTCGGGATTATGGTTGTCGAGATTTTGATATAGTCGGGATTTCGATACAGTCGGGATTTCAATAGACGGTCTTTCTGTTGTCATGGTGATAATTTTCCAAGATTTTGACCGTGGCGATTCAACAACTTGTTAGTTAGTGATTTGCTAAAACTGCTAATTCATTAAACCTTAATAACTTTCTTAATATTTGATCAAATTAAAAATATTTCGTATCAAGAGAAAGCTAAAATATCTTTCTGTTAGAATAAACTTTAGATCTTCAAATGAACATTGAAATAAAGAGTTTATGTTATATGTAAAATTTACTTACCTAAACACATTTTTAATTTAAAATATTTCATAGAAAATACTCGGTATTAATGGTTGTTTTCTTTATTAACATTTCTCAAATAGAAAGATGAAACAAAAATATACGAATTGTTTTTAATCCTGTAAATCCATTCCACTCGAACTAAATCCAAGTTATACTAAAGACGACATGAATTAAGGACTACGTGAAGCAAATGGCGTGTGTTGTTACTTTTGCGGTATTATTGTTATTAATATATATATATTTTTTTATGAGCAAAAGTTTATTATAATATTATTAAGTTTTTGAAAAGAAATAGAAAATAGAATGATAATACTTTGGACATGGTAGAAATGAGAATGTTATTAAAAAACGATAAATAAGTACAAAATAATTATAATCACAAACAAACAAACACAAAGTAAATGATGATTTTAAAAAAAAACCTTAAAAAATAATCTTACGGTTTCTATACTCTCCAATCATCCTTATACACTCTTACGTGCTCAATTATTATTATATACTTTTATACACATAATCCTATCATTTAGAAACAAAAAAATAAAAGTAATTCACTCACGAAATAAGAAAGAAAACAATGATAAAAGTAACACAACCACACTCGAAAAATTCAATTTTCGTTTTCTTATTTATTTCTTGTATTTATTCACTTCGGATGAAAACTTCATTGAAACAAGAGAGAAAAATAATAATAAAAAAAAAACAAACAGAAATAAAAAATATAATAATAGTCTTACTTAGTTAAAATATATAAAATAATAATAATATTAAAAACAAAAAAAATAATAATAATTATAAATTTTCGGACGACGAAAGTCCTACTAAGTAAAAATTGTTTATAAAAGTGTTGGCACAACAGTTCCTTTTATTCTTTTCTTCGAATTATACTTATTTTTATGTATATGTACGCACTCAAAACGATAATAATAAGCGATCGTGTAGAGTTTATCCTTTTTTTTGACAAAAAAAAATGTATATGCTTGGTGGATTATTATTATTATAATTCGCTCTTGATGTATAAGTATACTATATTTGTTTGCTTCTGTGTATTTATATGTGAATACCGCTTATTATAACATAAGGATACTGGTTTAAAAGTTAAAAGGATAAAAATATGTAATTACTACTATTGTAACATGGAATTTCCGTCTAGGAAATTGGAAAACAGTTGAGTCTGGGATGCTGGGAGGTTATCGGGTTCTTCTTCTGTTTGTTGTTGTTGTTTTTTTTCTTTTACTTCATCTCGTTCCGAAGATGAATCTTCCTCTACTCCTATATATATGTACAAATGAAAGGTAATAATAGGTAGCGGGTTTATTTCTTTTTGTATCTGCTGAGCTCCCGTTTCTTTTCGTTACCCTTCCTGAGAACCTCGGCGTACGAGAGGTCCAGCTTCTTGAGCTTGTGCAGGTCCTGGGATGCGGTGCTCGGTTTGAACTCGAATCCGGCTTGATCGTAGCGCAGAACCGTTGCCCCTTTGGCGCTTCCTTGACTCGGCGTTGGCGACGCCACGTTGCGGTTATTCGACCAGAACTGAATCGTGTTTCCGTTCCAGTTCTCGTTGTCCAGGTTCTTCGGTCGCCTTCTACCGGAACCAGGACGACTACCGTACGTGACGGTCGGACTGCCGACGATGTGCGTCATCGGGGAATCGCTGCGATCGGCAACCTGGTGCTGGTGCTTCTTTCTGCGGGATGAGCTGCGCTTTCGCACGTTCACGCCGACGGAAAGGTACTCCAAGGGTTGACGGACGAGCGGCGTTAATGTGCGTTCCTCGCTCTTGGCGTTCGCGTCCTTCGGCTCTGTTAGCTTGATGTTCTCGATCACAGTCGTCGGCTCAGCCTGACTTGTAGATACCTCAGACATGGTCGAAGACATAACGCTCTGAGTATCGTCGGTGCAGTTGTCGGGGAAGTCTGGCAGGTTCTCAGTGCAAGGAGTAACGGGAGGTACTTTAGGAGGATGCCTGTTGTTTGGGTCGCAATCGTCGAGAAGCGGCAGCTCCTCGTTGTCGTCCTTGTTCTTCGCCGCCTTCTTGAGCACTCCGAAGATCTCGCTGAAGAGATCCCTGTACTGGGGACGGTTGCGAAACCGTTCCTCAAAGTTAGAAGCATCGTCGTAAATGCTGAAGCAGTCTTCGCCGTCGCCGATGGTGCAGAGAAAGGATCCGGTCCGACGATCAGTCTGTGTAGCTTTGTTGCTTGTCTCATCCGAAAATCCGGAAGAGCTCGTCTCCGCCTCCGAGAAATCCGTCGGTGTCTGCGAGAAGTTCTTCCTGTTTTTCTTCTGCTGCTGCTGCTCTGTGCGAAGGCTATCACCATGACCGCTCTCTTCATCCGTATCCTTCGTGCTCATGTTGTTGAAATCGCCGGAAAGGACGCCCTCCTCGTGCAAAGATTTTTGATGCCTGTGATTCGTATGCTTCTGCACCTTCACCAGAGCTTCGTACTTCTCCACAAGATCCCTGTACAAGTTGTTTTCCTGCCGCGGCGGCGTCGACGTCTTCGCATATTCCTACAACAGAAGAGACAACCTTTAACACGAACAATTCCATTGTATCACGAAACACACACAAGCGCACAAATACTCAACAAAAACTACCAGAATAGTTAACTACATCTACAAGCATGCACCAAACATCTTAACTTTAAAGCCCAGAAATGCGAAAGCGAATGTCATACCTACAAACATAAAGTAATCCAGATGAAATGATGCATTAACTTAAACATCATTAATAAGTTTCACACTTCATCACAAACACGACTTCAGTATTATCTTTACCAAAGTTTTGAAATTCGAACTCAAGTATTCTACAATTCATTTAATTTTCTTTATTTATACTAAAAATAACTTTAATTAAATAGTATTTTTTTATTATTATAAAATTTTTAAAAAATATTTTTTTCTATATAACATTATACATATAATACATACTTATACAGATAAATCACCACATTTTTTTTTTACTAAAATTTCATATTAGGTTATCTTTTTATATTATACCTAATTAATACTTAAATAAAATTATATAAACCTACATATTATGGCCGAAATAAACGCAGATTTTTTTACGTAAAGACTTATCGTTTCTTAACCCTTTTTTCATCATCTAACCTACATTTACTTAATGTTAAATTTTGATGTATAAATCTACTTTTCTGTGGTGTATAAGTAGATCATTTAATCTAAAAAAAAAACTTAAAATTCCTATGAGATTCAATTTCAAGATCTGTATTAAAAATTTAGTATTTTGATTATGTAATGCTGCAACCACACTACTAGAGATATAAGATAATCATGACTGTTAAATGTACCAACTACTATTGACCATAAGACATTCAACGTATAGTGTGAATCTTAATACAATCATGAAGTTCTTTGATTTGATGGATGAACAAATTTAAGAAAATCTCAAGGTCATATAATGTTCAATTTATATTGACCAATAAATGCCAAAGACAAAATGTGTTAATGAACTTTTAGTATATAGTATTTTTTGTATACTATAAATTTGTATTACTAAGTGAATGAGTTTCATTGAGTTGCTTTTAGTAACAACTTTGGAATGAAGTTTCCCATAATTGAATAAGTTTGAAGATGTTATATAAATGGTGAAGCAATTAAATACCATTCACCTTGTATGATTTTTTTTACTATTATATTTGCTAGGTGAGGAGGAATGATTGAGGTATGGTGTTTAGTTGGGAGAAAACTAAACTATAAGGTAAAAAAAATCCTCGCCCATGTTAAATAAAGTAAAAATTAAATAAATAAAACCCGGAATCTTTTGTAGACGTACCTCACAATCGATGTATTTTATCGTGTTTGAGGAGGTGCAGGACGAGGAACGGATAGGTGAAGGATTTGTAGGCGAAGGGAACGAGGTACTGGTCTTTGAAATACAGACACAGATCTACGAGCAGGGAGAGAACGGAAGCCGAAGCAGGCATCGTCCATAACATTGTCATATCTCTGCTCGTTATATCCGGAAGCAGTGCGGACTCCCCCTGGTGGAGAGAACAATAAAACACTCCGGTAACGACATGCACAACAATTAACTTCCGTCCTCCAAAAAAAAAAACACCCTCTTAAACCCTACTAAATTAGTTTGTAGTGTGCTGTGATCACTAACTAAACTAAACTAACAAATATAAATATGTTCAGTTCGGTTGATTTTCGTGTTTGTTAGTAATGAGTATTTTGTGTGTGTGTGTGATATGATGTATTTTTGGTGATGAAGAGAATGAATAAAAAAAGAGAAAAGAAGCCATAAGCCCTTACTTACAATTTAAATAAATAATATATATATATATATGTGAGAGAAAGAGTATGTTTAACTATTTCACAGAAAGCATTGTTCTAGACTGAGAAAGCCAAGATGACGAATGAGTTCATGCCTCACCTGAACGTCCATCGTGAAGGAGCTTCGATGTTGAGAGACGTCGGCTAGCGCATCCAGCATGCTAGAATCATCGTCCTCACGATCATCGCAAAGGCTCAGAGACATGTCGTCTCTGGGGTCGACGTTTCGAAGGCATTTGCTGCAAAGCTGTCCTTGTCTGCACCAAAAAGAAACAACAACTTTAACATTTCCATTCAGAAAACATGGATATTCATTCAATTACCTGACTTCCTCCAAGGTGCTAAGCTCATCCTGCATGCTCTTCATATCCTCCGCATCTTTGTTCTGCATGTTTATCATCTGATTCTCGAGCTCGTGGTTCCTCTGAACCATAGTGGATAGTTGCTCCTCGAGCTCGGCGATCTTCCTTTGATCTTCAGCGAACATGGACTCTCGTTCCTTCAGCTGCGCCGCCATCTGAGACAATTGCTCTGCGCCGCTCTCGAAGATCTTTTCATCTTTGCTGGGAGTCGTCTGAGTCTCCTGACAACGATCCGTCGTTTTTGTTGTGCTAATACACTCATCCTGAAAGAGAACAAAATCAATATTATTAGAATTTCTTAAAAATTTGTTAAAACCTGAAAATAACTTACTTGTTCTATGTGTTGAGCAGACGAATCTGGACTGATCGGTGTCTGGTAGTCGACTTCGTCGTAGTCGAGTCTCTGTGGTTTCGCAACATATTTTTTTGCGACTTGCTGAATGGTCTCTACAGGTCTGAGAGCTTTCTTCTTGTACACTTCCAGCTCGACCTTGAGCTCATCCAGATTCGTGGAGAGCTCTTCGCATTTCGCCTCCAAAGACTCGATGGTAGCGGTCAGACTCTTGATGTGCTTCTTGTCGTTGCTGTTCTCCACTGCTAATCTGTGGTTGGCCCTCTCCAAATCCTGGATGCTAACCTCCAGCTGCTCGTAGATCCTCAAACGACTGTCGTTCACCTCCCGAAGTGCAACTGTCTGTTTCGTTAAATACTAAAGACAAGAAAAAAAAAACACAAAAAATATAGTTAATGAAGAATCATTGACAAAAAATGTAAACTAAATTATACGTAAAGACAAAAATAGTAATAAGTATAATATTAACTTTCAGGAAAACTTCTGAAGTGACGTTAATTACTTTCTATAAGCAACGGTTGAATTTGTAAACTATGATCTATTTATACGTACTAATTTTAGGTAAACTTATCAAAAAAAAATCAACAGGAAGTGGAAGCTCGGTAATTAAGTATACGTCCTTGTTTTTTGACGATTATTATGTAATCATGATTGAACTTGAAAAACGTAAACAAATTAAACTTATTGTTTATGCAAATGTTTTGGATGTTAAGTTAACATCGTTCTCATTAGAAATATTTGCATTCATTTGTTTCAGCTTTCTTGATTCTACCAAAGTATTACTCCTGTATAATACTATTTTTGACGAATCTCAAATTCAAGGTACGTCCTATACTTTTGTGCGTATTATACATATGGATTTCAAATTCAATCTGCGCATTATACAACGAAAAAACGTTATTTTCATATATCCAAGACAAACGAAATAATAACATGTAATACAAACTACATAAAATTTGTCTTGGATCGAAGAGTAATAACAGCTTGAAGAACAAACAACCCGAGGGAAACAACAGGAAACGCTCCATTAGTTTTCCACTTGTTAGAAGACCTTCAATTCGTTAATTCGAGAACTAGTTTTTCCAGGGTCTCTTATTAAGTCCTCTCTACTTCTTTTTAACCCTTCTTCTTCAACATCTTAGTTAAACCTACTTTTTCCATATCCCAGCTAAAACCTACCTCTATCTCTTGTGTCTGATCCTCGATGACATTCTGGTGTTGTTTCAATGAGGATTCCAATTCCTTGTTTCTCTCTAGTAAAGTTTTTCCAAGTTCTGCAGCCAATTGCAAATCTAAAACAAAAACAAAATAAATTAGTTAATTATATAATTCATTTAGAATATATCTTAATTTTATTATGAAATAGTTAAAAAAATATAAATTATTTTTTTTTGATAATTTTCATATTAGTATAGTAAATGAAGAAAATATACAATTTCACCAATATTTCTATAAATTTGTATATGAATAAATTGTATGATTTTCAAGTAAATTTATTGTGATTATTATTATTTGAAATTTGATCTAGAAAAGGAATCGAAGAGACCCTTACAAAGTAAGAAAGTAAGTCCAAATAAGATTCTAATACCAAATTTGAACTTAAAGGAAACTAAAAACAAAGAACGAGACAGGATCAAAGAAAGTGATGCAGACGTCGTTTACGATTTAATTTCCTTTTGGAAGCGAAACCGTTAAACTCATTTCTTTCCTTCTTCGTTCGAATCCACTCAATAAACGAAGTGTCCTTTCTTACTTTAGAGCACGAAACGAAAGTGTATCTCACAGTTTTCTCTCATAAAATTCTTCAACAATTAATCACTAGTTTTATATAATACAAATCATAACATCATCTTAATCCACAGTTTAAAATCTTAAATTTCTTCTTCAAAAATCGTTGAAAAAAGTGAAAATAAATATATTAATTATTAAGCTTCAAAATTTCAAAAATTCTACAATTCATTCAAAATCCAAAAAAACTATCTTTAAATTTCTTAAAATCTCTAAAATTTTAGAATAGAAATCAAAGTTGCGTGCTGCAAATTACCATCACACCTCAAGTAATTTGTTCCACATTTATTTTCTTTTTCTTCCTTCACTTCTCTTCGCATTTTCCATTAACCTGTATGTAGAACACTCGCATTTTTTCTTCTGGCATGCGAAAACCGAATTCCGAAAAGTCTTCGAACACGAAAAAAAAAAACTTTCGTTCCGTTTCGTTTGTGAAGAATCGGTCCAATTAGTACAACAAACACATGCAGTGGCGACGGCGCTTCGAATTCCGCGATTTCGAAAACCGTGGAATTTGGAGCGAAATATTGGATTTTTACGAAGGTGAAATTGAGGAAGAAGGTAATCAAAACGTCGTTATTATTATTACATAAGTATGACTTTTATCGCATTCAAATTATGTAACTCAATAATTTAAAACTTTGAAAATTAAAACAATTTATTTCAAGATTTAAGAAATTAAGCATGTTTTTTGAAAATAACCAATATTTTTTTAAATAAATAATTAATAAAAATTGAAATTTATACTAATTTTCAGGTTCAATAAGAAATAATCACCAATTATATAAAAAAAAGTATAAAAGTCAAAGTTGTAAATTAAATTCTTGACTAATCGAATACTAATATTATTTATTATAAACAGAAAGTGTCAAGAAGGTGACATCACAGATTTAACTCCTTGAAAGTCACGTGTAATTTTTGAATGTTTGTAAGTTAAGCAAAACACACCTATGAATACAAATTGTTAAAATTAAGGTTGAAATTCTTTACAAGTTAAATCATTCCATTAGTCATAATGTAAATTTGGTCAAAATTGTTAAATGTAAGTCAGTGTCTATTTCTTTTACACCTTATAAAAGTTAAACAACATTCTGTGAAGATTTTACTTGAAAAGGTGACAAATAAAATATATTAAAATAAAAGGATAATCATTTCCTCATTAAATTTAAGTGTTTACACTCAACTATTTTATGTTTTAATAACAGGTAAGAAAATAATTATGTTCGAGTAGTTTCAACTTACTTTGCAATTAAAGCTTCCTAAGTAATTTAATACTAAGTAATGGGAACGTAACTTGAAACTACTTGAATTTGATTATTCATTCAATTTAAGTGTTTTCAATATCCATTTAATGTAATTATTTTAATTGCAAATACAAAAAATTAACGAAAAGTTCATTAAGAATAATTATTTGTAAATGCAATTTTCATAAACATTGATTACTTTTTTATATCAATCAACAAAACATGTTTTCAACTTTTCAATTGAACATTTGATCAAAAAACAATTTTTTTATTTTATTAAAAAAAAAAATTCAAAAAACTATTGTTTTTGTCTATTATTTTTACATAATTTTTGTATATCTTTATGAAAGATTACTTCTTTATTTCTGTCAGTCAAAACCAAAACTTCTCTTAATATAACATCAAACTAAATTAATTGAACATTTGATCAAAACACATTTTTTTCTTTAATTTTGGTACAAAATTAATTTAAAAAAATTAAATTCGATAAAATTTTAGTAGAAGAAAAACATAACAATATTTTGTATTATTTACAATTTTTTTTTCATTTTGTACAGGACAAATCGTGTACAAAACTTTTATTTAAAAAAAGTTTTAAACTATTGTTTTGTCCATTAATTTTACATAATTTTTGTATATGTTCCTCAAAGCTCACTTCTTTATTTATGTCAGTCAAAACCAAAACTTCTCTTAATATAACATGAAACTAAATAAATTGAACATTTGATCAAAAAATATGTTTTTTTTTTTATTTTGGTACAAAATTAATTAAAAATAATAATAATACGTAACTTTTTTTTTAAATTATTTGTTAATTCTAATTAATTTTATTAAATTCGATAAAATTTTAGTAAAAAAATTTAACAATTTACAAAAAATTGTTAGTTTATTTTTTTTTCTTTTTGTACAGGAAAAATCATGTACAAAACTTTTATTTAAAAAAAGTGTTAAACTATTGTTTTGTCCATTAATTTTACATAATTTTTGTATATCTTCATGAATCATTATCACTTCTTTCTTTTTCTATCAGTCAAAAACAATACTTCCATTTTAGTTAATACAATTTTATCTAAAAAAAACAATATTTTTTGTACTGGATCATTTTTTATGTGGGAATTAAGAGCTCTTCAGAAGACCTCGAAATATTAATATACTGCTGATAAAAAATTTGTATGTGTATATTTAGTCAATTTATTGCTTGATAACTTTATTTCATAAAAAAGTTAGCAATAAAACATATACAGTAATACCTCGCATAGTGCGCACTGTTTGAAACCGGACTGTATAAAGAGACGGTTTTTTAAATTTTGTTTTATATAAAATTTTCAAACCGTCTCACTATAGGACTAATTGAAGCTATGGGAGTTGTTGCAATAATTTTTATTCAAAATTTATTATAAAAATACACATTATCCACGAAATAACAACAAACAAACGTAATGTGAAGTAATTACAATGAAAAAAAACTTTTGCAATTCTTTCGTAGAAATTTGCGTAATTACGAGGATAATTCAGATGTTGTTTGGTGGAGGGAACAAATTGTAAATGTTGTTTTGCTGTTCCAAAGTCTGTCGGTGTCAGAGTTATGCACTCTTCGAGTGATTCATAGAGGGCACAGCTTAAAAATAAGTTGCGTAATTATAGGCCGGTTAAATTAGGGCCATTAAGTAATTGCGACTCGATATAGATTGGCAGGTTTAGATAACAAATACATATACATACACACACAACTAAACTAGGCGACTATTTTTACCTGTGTTACGTAGCCTACGGGAAAATTTGCATGCTTCACGTCGTTATCGTGCGTTTTGCACATTCGCAAATTATTTATGAGACAAGTTGCAAAAAAAAAAACAACGTAAAAGAGTTATATCATATTTCAATCACTTTCAATGCTTTTAGTTTGTTACAATCATGCAATTCTCTACAAAATATCTTATCATTATATTCATTGCGATTTAGCACATTCTTCAAATAAATAAAATTTATTTTAAATATTTCGTTAAATTTTTCATATAAAAAAAACTAATTCATGGAAAATTTTCATATTTACAATGATTATTGAATATTTTGTAAATTTTGAAGCAATTATTTCATTGCTTTTATAATTAAAAAAAAAACAATATTTTTTTTGTCTAATTTTGTTATTAATTAAAGTTTTTCTTTTTCATAAAAATATAACTTAATTTACTTGAAACTTTTCATTACATAAAAAATTACCTTATTCATCTAAATAATACGTATTTTCAATAGTTATCATACGTTTTGCACATTGCGAATGATTTATGTGACAATCAGAAAAAAAACGTAAAAATCGTTATATCATATTTCAATCGTTGCGACTATTTTTTGTTTTATTCAGCAGTTTTTTTATTGTATATTTTAGTCACGCACAGGTCGTAAATTGCGTTTCTTACGATGGTGACAAAATGTATTTAAACCTGTAACATCTGGAAATAGTAGAGAACAATGAATAAAAAAGTAAATCTACGAGATTTTACGTAATATTTTCATGTATTTATCAAGTCTTTATAGTTGTTTATAATTGCCGCAGGAAAATCACACAATTAAAGACATGGAATAACAAAGAAAGTATTAATAGACGTTTTATATAATCATTAAAAAATAATAAAAATATTAGTAAACTTTGAAAATTTCTCAAAAGATGGCGTATTAGAATTAATCAAAGGAAAAGTAGTGAATATTTATTAACGCGTTTGGTGCGTATTATATACGAGTACAAAGACAATAAACTGAAAATATTAACATTTGGTGCGTATTATATTTGAGTAGAAAGACAACAATATGAAAATATAAACGTTTATTGCGTATTATATATAAGTACAAAAAAACAAAAAAATAACTTTTATTGCGTATTATATTCGAGTAAAAAAAAATGAGAAGGTCATGACTTTTTGATCAATTACGAAGCAGTATATTAGGAAGTGCGTATTATATTCGAGATTTCACAGCGAAAAATTAACTTATAAGAATTATATAATCAATGAAATATTATAGAAAATTTTGTGTATTTTTCTAAATTTTTTTTTGTAAAAATATCACAAAAATTATTACAAAATCATAAATAATTTCAAAACTAGAACAAATCTTTAATCTAGACACCACAAATCATTATTACTTAACAAAACGTGCTTCGATTTACTTTTCGAATCTACTCTAATTTCATCCTGGTTTTCCATAATAATTTACGTTTATAAATCTCAACGATTAAGTAAAGATTACGTAAAAAAAGACTTTAA